GCTGGAGCAAAGGCTCGCGGCTGCTGGCTGGCGCTGAGAGGCGAGGTGCAGCACGTGTGGTCGTGCAGAGGAGGAGGGCGCTGCTGAGGGCAGCGTCATAGCCCAGCCACCATAGCTGGTGGGCTTGGACTACAGTGAAGCGCAGGGGTGGTCTTCGGAGGACAGGTGTGGGTGTAGTCAGGGGATAGGTGAAGGATGATGATGATGATGATGATGTGAGGGCACTTACCGAGTATTGGCGATGGTCTGCATGGGCGACATCTTCAAGTACTTTGGGCTGCCGCTGATGTCAACAGTTGCATTGTCTCTTTGTAGTCTGTAGTAGCTGTGTAGGAGTAGGCTAGGCGCTGAGCGCCAAGTGTGAGTGTGAAGGAACTGGACTCTTGTGTTGGGAGGAGAGAGTATGCTCTCCATGAACATTGGTTTCCAGTGCTACGAACCTCCATTGGTTTATTATTGGTGCAATGCTGCTCTCTGGACACGGTGCGACTATTTGGCGTTCAATGTGATGGTGTGATCTGGAATTGTCATCTCGCTGTTACTTATTTTCCTTGCATATGTCACTTGATCATGATGGCAGAGGTCCACTTGTCTCTGTCAGTGGTTACTTGGGCTGCATGAACGTCAAATGTATAATGTGGCTGTGCAGTTGTTTCCAAGATGTTGCAGGTTCTGTTAGTGGAGGGGGACCGTCTCCTCAATGTACTCCCTGATTTGTTGGTCCTATGCTGTGTTCTATCCCACGCGACTCCCATCTGCTTCCGTATATTGTTGTGCCCTTTCCGTTGGGTTGGTCTCTTTCATTGTCATGTTCTTTTCTACCGTCTCCGCAGTACATCTCGTGTGCCTACCTTTCCCTTTTTACCTGTGGTTCGTTGGTCCTGTTTGTCAAGGGAAGTGAGCTTTGCCCATGTTCTTTGGATGCCCTTGCGTGTTTCAGATGATTCCTGTTTAGTGTGATATTTTTCGATTTGAAAGCTTTTACAAAGTCGTTCACAACTCCACAAATATAACTCGCATCTAGTGCGCATGGAGTGTCCTTGCGTGTTTCAGATGATTGAAATGGTTTTCACCTTTCTGCAGTCACAGATGCGGGCCCTAGAGTTCGATCCCCAGACCTCACTTTGCCCATGTACAGTATCGAGTCGACGCCCGAGTGTTTGAACCCGTGACCTGTGTTTTGGTAGTTGTTTGTCGCCTGTCGTAGGTCTGTGTAGTGGTAGGGGTTTGATCTGTAGGTCTGTCGATTAGGAGTCACAGCTTTGTAGAGGTCGTAGCTGCCACAGTCCTGAAAGGTCAAGGTCGCAGCTGCTGCAGCACCCGAAAGGCAAGTCCACAGGCTTCCGGAAGGTCTGGAAGTGGCCTTTCGAAATGTCTCACGTTTGGTCAGAGGCAAGCAGGCAAGTGGTGAGCCCAACTGCATTATGTTGGCAGTGTGACTGCATCGAGTTGGCAGTGCAAACCCATGCAGTCAGCGGTACTGGTCCCGGTCAGTCAGAGTCCAGTCAAGCAAGTACCGTGTGGGACTGTGTGCACCAAGGGCCTGGGAAAGGGGCAGACCAACGAGTTACAGAAGTATAAATCAAGAGGCAGCGCCCAGACATTCATTCATTTTTCGCTGTGTAAGCCATGCGGAAGCGCTGCTACAGCGTCTTGTGTGAAGGTGGTCTCCAGGTCGCCCGAGGACGAAGTGGGATGAAGGGAGATCGTAGCCATAGTCAGTAGTGGTAGTGCGGCCATAGCCGCTATAGAAGGAAGTTAGACTTAGCGTGCGTGTGTGGTGGTATTCAGGGTGATCCAGAGTGAGCGTGTGTGAGCAGTGGAGTTGGACACAGTGACGAAGGTTGGGATGTTTAGGCGCCGATGTGCCATAGCCTGTGGAAGTGAACTTGCATCTGAACTGTGTTCTTGATTTCCATATCTCTAAGCTTTGAGTGGGCGCCCGGCGCTAGTATGAATCTCCATCTGTTTGCATGTATGCGAAGTAGAAGTGAAAGCAAGTCTGATTGCATGATTCCTGTTTAGTGTGATATTTTTCAATTTGAAATCTTTTACCAAGTCATTCACAACTCCACAAATATAACTCACATCTAGTAATCATGGAGTGTCATTGGTATCCCTGGTCGCTCACTCTTTTGTTACTGTCAATCATTTGCCGTAGCCGCAATCGTTGACACTGATTCAATGTCATGTGTTCGTCTGTTTGTGCAGTTTGTCTACTTGAGGGACAACAGGTTGCATTCGTTTCAGGGAGCGGAAGTATTTCTGCGAGTCAAGGTAGACTCTGTTTTTTTTTTTTTTTTTTAACAAAACAACCTGATCGGCTGCTAGGGGTGCTGGTAGGAGCAAACACCACTAGCATCGTCGGGGAGGCTCCATCTATTGGTGGGGAGCAGCACCTGCTGGAAAAGGTCCAGCGTCCCTGTATAATACAATGTGAGAAACAAAGGTAGTGTAAGCATGGTCTGTCAGTATGCATGAGGGGCTGGGCAGTGAGTGGCCCAGCGCTTTATCGGATCTTTTGTAATGGAGTATTCAGTAAACTATCGCTTATGATGTTGATTACCTGACCTGTTGACCGTCACTTCCTGTTTATCTACTATCTATCTGTTCGTTGCCATATGCACCTGTGTCTGAGTCTGTTAAAGGTGTTAGTGTGTGTGATTCTCGCCACATTTCGCTGTGTGCTATATAAGATGTCATTGAGGGTGTTCCTAACCTAGGCTACCAGCCGGGCCGCCCGGGTCCCGGGTGGCCAGCCCGTGCAAGGATCAGGTAAGGTCCCAGCAAAAAAATAAAAATAAAATAAATCCAAAAATTCTGAAAAAAAACTATGTTATGCAGAAAAATAAACTGAACAGGGTCACATCGAAATTCTTCATCAAATTTAAAATAAAAAATAAATTTCAAAAATATATATATATATTTTTATTTTTATAAAGCCCGGCCGGGCAAGTGACCCTGGGCCACTCTGGTAGCCTAGTTCCTAACTATGTTCCTAACTGTGTTTGCTATGGAACATGCATGTACTCCTGCATCCTGCTGAGTCCCAGCCGCCTTAAACCCTATACCCTACTCTACAAAACTTGGTAATAATTCTTGTGTGACATCCTATACACCAACTCTGTTATGATACTGTGTACTTCAACACTGTTGCAGTGGAGCGTTGTCAGCCTGTCACCCCTATAACGAGTTATGTTGTCATTCCTTACGTATCAGCTCCCTTGAATCCCACCCTACAATCATCTGGTTCATCATCTATTTTGTGGCTCAATCTGTATTGTAGACATTACTTATTGCTCTGTGTTCTTGTCCTGATTCTACCTACAATGGCCTTAACCCCATCTGCCCACCCCAAACTCCCTTGTGCAACGTCTTTAACCCACAGATACTCGATCCCTGACGCAGTTCCATCTATCACTCCCATCTCCAAGTTATGTTGTCGACAATCTCTCAGTAGTCATTATGGAGAGGCCTCAGGAACCCAGTATCAGCAAAGCGTCGCCCACACATGTATGTCTTGGTACCATAATATGTGTTCCGTATGTCATCAGAACAAGCTTTTTGGCCTTCTGATGTCCCTGTTTCTTCACCCCGTATTGTGTTCGGGCTGCATACTCCATGGCACGTGACCTATCCCTGCTGCTGTTCCTCCTGATCCTTAGCTGAGGTTGTAAGTTTCTTTGGGAGGGAGTCCAGGCTTGGCCGGCACACAGCTTGAGGGCGTGGGAAGAAGTCGGCGAGGACAGTTTTTGATTGGGAAGGTCAAAAGGATAGGGAGAAGATGTGTTGATGACTGATGATGGTCAGCGATGAAGGGGAACTGGGGACAGGGAGGACGAACATTGAGGAGGGTTCAAGTATTTCGTAAGTCAGGGGGTGTTGGCCACGGTTGTGATTCGCAGGGGTGATATTGGCAAAAGGAGGAGGATTGTCAGGATGGGTCACAATATGCATTTAATGCATTGGGAGGGTAAATGTGTGTGGCATATGTAGATCCCACACGGGACCAGTAGAACCCGTCAGGTAGGTAGGAAGGGGTAGGGACTTAGCTTCGGTCTGACACATTAGTTTTGTGGCCAGAAGTAGGGCCTGTGTAGGTTCAGGCCAGAAAAGGGCCGTTTTAGGCCCACACCAGGTTCGGCCTGGCCAGCCCCTGGTACCGGTAACGGTTCAGGCCCTGGCCTCCTTTTTTTCCAAGGCCACACTTGGACCGTTAGATTCGATCCAAGTGTAGTATGGCCAGATTGATTCCCAGGCCATTCATTCTGGGCCTCGCGTTTAGGCCAGTAGGACCTAGGAGAGTCCAGACCAATAGTATTTAGCGCGAGTTAGTACTCAGCGTTATGCTGTGTTAGTCTTCAGCTCTGGGGGCAGTAATGGTAGGTTGGAGGTAGCGAGCGTGGAGGCTGTAGTGGAGACTGCAGCAGGAGACAGGTGGAGGCCAGACACTGGGACTTACCTGCTGACTCACCTGGGGTGCCATAGCTCCAGCTTTGTCTTCCGCACTCCAGTATTTGGTACCAGCAGAGAGAGGGAGGGAGGGAGGGAGAGGAAGAGAGAGAGAGAGAGAGAGAGAGAGAGAGAGAGAGGGGGAGGGAGGACTCTTCTTCTTCTTCTCTCCTCTGGACCTCCTCCATCCTCCACCTCTCAGTCTTCCACTTCCGTCTGGATAAGAGAGAGAGAGAGAGAGAGAGAGAGAGAGAGAGAGAGAGAGAGAGAGAGAGAGAGGGAGGGAGGACTCTTCTTCTTCTTCTCTCCTCTGGACCTCCTCCATCCTCCACCTCTCAGTCTTCCACTTTCATCTGGATGAGAGAGAGAGAGAGAGAGAGAGAGAGAGAGAGAGAGAGAGAGAGAGAGAGAGAGTTACCTGAGATCTGAACTTGGGGACACTCGGGCCATTGCCGTGCTCTGGTATGTCGGACAAAGACCTGCTCCCTCCTACTTCGTCCGATGATGACCAGGGCACAGCGCCCCATCCTTGTTTGCTGCGCTGCCCCCTTCTCACCGTGTGATGCATGTATGAGTGTGCATTGTCCATTCTGATATTACTGTGTCAGATGTATGTTCAGTCTTTCGCTGCGTATGTATAGTCTCTTGCTTTGAGTCGACTCCACTTGTCATGTTTGGATGTGTATGCGACATGTGGAACAAGGATTGTGTATCGAGGAGGGGCAAGATGCATTGCACATGTGAGGAGTGAAATGGGAAGGGCAGGGATAGGGAGGGGTTTGTGGAGTGGGGATAGATCGTTTTTTTGTACTTTTGGTCCGTTTTGGA